ACTTCACGCCTGGTCCCTCCCTCCTCCCCCGAAGCCCACACCTCTTCCCCGCGCCGCCTATTCCCCGTTTATCACCTTCCCTCATCTCCCCAAAACATCAATTCGTCGGAACACCTCCGGGAGAGAAAAAAAAGCTCATGTAATAAAGATTGGGAAATAACCCCTTTATTTCGCGACGTCGGGCCCTCTCCCCCTAGGAACGAAGGTGCCATCCTCGCGGCTTCGTGGCAGGATCACTACTCACGGGTTTCTTTTCGGAGGTTTTTACGAAATGTGGGTGAAGAGGAGCGATCGGCGGCGACACGAAGGCGAGGCAGAGTGCAGAAGGAGCCTTGGCGGGGCATTCGACTTCTCGGGCGAGCACCTTCGCAATCCGCCACAGAGATTAAAGGGCTAAATAAGAGCATCGTAACAGAGGATTGAATATTTTTTATAATTTTAAAAGTACTTATATTTTAATTCAAATTATTCGGTATATAAGATTTGGTTGTTAGTTTTTCATTTCTGTGTGTCCCTACTCTTCAAAAATGCTTACCCTGTGTATTTGTTTACACTGAGCGAGACACAACACCACGCGTACCGAGACGGGATATCGACCAATCACAATCGAGCTCTATTTCCTCTCCGCCAATGAGAACGCAGCTTTCCCCCTCGACCAACACACGGACGGAGGAAACGAAGGGTCCCGAGGCTCAACACATGGGCGAGGAGCAACTTGGCCGAGAAAGACCCATAATCTTTTGCAATATAGGAAGTTAGAGAAATTATCGAAGATGAAGGCCCTCGAGGGACGGAACAACGTGAAGGTCTACAATCTAAGTGCGGGAAAGTCCCTGCCAGATGTAAGTGACATTGAGAGTAAAGTTTTAAGGTTTCGCCATACTTGTACGAATCGTGTTTCTTATGATGGGTTGATGGGGAGTAATGAATGATAATTGGAATATTAGATTGCTCTCTCTCTCTCACTCTCTCTCTCTCTCTCTCTCTCTCTCTCTCTCTCTCTCTCTCTCTCTCTCTCTCTCTCTCTCTCTCTCTCTCTCTCTCTCTCTCTCTCTCTCTCTCTCTCTCTCTCATTCTCTCTCTCGTTCTCTCTCTCTTTCTCTCTCTCACTCATTCTCTCTCTCTCTCATTCTCTCTCTCGTTCTCTCTCTCTTTCTCTCTCTCTCTCTTCTCTCTCTCTCTCTCTCTCTCTCTCTCTCTCTCTCTCTCTCTCTCTCTCTCTCTCTCTCTCTCTCTCTCTCTTCTCTTTCTCTTTCTCTTTCTCTTTCTCTTTCTCTCTCTCTCTCTCTCTCTCTCTCTCTCTCTCTCTCTCTCTCTCTCTCTCTCTCTCTCTCTTTCCCTCTCTCTCTCTCTTTCCCTCTCTCTCTCTCTTTCCCTCTCTCTCTCTCTCTCTCTCTTTCCCTCTCTCTCTCTCTCTTTCTTTCCCTCTCTCTCTCTCTCTTTCTCTCTCTCTCTTTCCCTCTCTCTCCTCTCACCTCCCTCCTTCCTTCTATCTTTCTCCCTCTCTCTCATCCACCTTCTTTTTCTGCTATGTCTTTTATTGGATAAATTTCTTATAACTTTATTTTTCTATCCAACAGTGGTTAACAGAACGAAAAAGGAGACAGTTATCAAAGCGAGATGTCGGTAAGTAAAAACTGCATTTAATAATTGCAGTAACCTAATTAGGAATCTGATATAAATTTTTTGGAGTATTACGATCCCGTCCACTTTCCTGCTTTGTCTCTTGCTTGGCAGTCCCTTCCACCCCTTCCTTCCCTTTGCTATATCCTTCATCTTTTTTTGTAATCTTCATTGTTAAGTTCTTTGCCATTCTTAGGTGATTTTTATTGTCATGTCATTTAGCGTGTGTTCTTGTCATGTAGCATATGGTAATTAGTGTCATAGTAATTATTATAATAGTAAAGACGAGATATTCATTTACAAGTAACCTTCATATTTCTAAGAATTGTTAGTAGTCTGTAGCTTTTCCAAAATGATTATGTACAAAGCAAAAAGTGAAGATATTGATGTTCTCACTTTTCAAGTCCTGACCACTTTCCACAGAGTTCCGACAGAAGATTGAGCTGATTCAGGATTTCGACATGCCAGACTTGAGTGGCTGTGTGCGCATGTCACCCGATGGTCGGTATATTTTAGCAACAGGAACATATAAGCCAAGAGTGAAATGCTATGAAGTGGCATCCCTTTCGCAGAAGTTTGAGAGATGTGTGGACTATGAGGTTATTCAGTTCGAGATTCTCTCTGAGGATTATAGCAAGGTAAGCTTTTTATTATTATGAATTGTTGATTTCTGCTTAAATGACTCAGTAAGAGATGTGTTATTTTCCTGTATGGTTTTCAAAATATAGGAAGTTCAATTTTCTTTCATGAATTTTTTCCAGTTGGTTTTCTTGCAAGAGGAAAGATATGTTGAATTTCACAGTCAAGGTGGGAGGTGGTTCCGCACTCGCATCCCAAAATTTGGACGTGACTTGGCATATCATTATCCTTCCTGTGACCTTTACCTGGCAGCAGCAGGGTAATGTGTAGAAAAGTATAACATTATCTAAATATACTGATAATGCTTAACTGATAATCAATGCAAATCATGACAATTATGAATGTAAATCTTTGTTCTCCTGTGCATATAAATGTATGAAAGAAATTTGTTATGTGACATTTTTTTTCTATATTGATAGTACCTTCTGTTGTAGAGTTTATCCAGATTATGAAGAGAGCTCTGCATAATCATCTGAACCATTTCTGCAGCATTTCTAATGAGCTAGTTTCCACTCCACTGCTTTCAGGAGTGAAATCTACCGCCTGAATCTCACCCAGGGTCGATTCCTGAACTCCCTGCAGACCAACAGCCCGGGGATTAACAAGTGTGAGTTCAACAAGGTTCATTACCTGTTATCCTGCGGCACGGAAGACGGTCGCATCGAGGCCTGGGACCCACGGTCGAGGCATAGAGTCGGGCTCTTAGACTGTGCGATTCACATGAACACAGAATTTATGTCGTAAGTATTTAGCCACATTCTGCGTTTATTTCGGTCTGGTCCTACCTACTGAGGGGAGAGGTTATTTAAGTGGGACTTCCCTTAGTTTTTTTTATCTGTAAGAAAGAGCTTGCCCACAAAAGAGGAACAGGTCTCTCTCTCCATATTTTTATCAGTTTGGCATTTTGCAGTCCGTTGATCAGATCGCTGTTGTTTTTAAAGTTTCATTACTGATTACTTATTATTGTTGGTATGACTTTCTTTATTCATTTTCACCATTCCATTCCAAATTTCTAACCCAGAGATAGTGACTTAAACACTGCAAATCGGTTCGGCATAACAGCACTGGCTTACAATGATGCCTTGACCTTAGGGATTGGCACCCAGACTGGACAGGTGAGTGGGTATTAATGTTATTGTTCTTTATCGTTTTTACTTTTTACTCTGTTCTTGTTATATTATATTGATGGAGTAGGGATTAAGCTGCATGATTAGGGAGAAAATACTCACTAATTTAGTCACTTTACTGTACTGCGATATATATATATACTGATCTCACATGGTAGAAGGTGCCTTTCAAAGATGTAGATTATATTCATGAGATATATAAAAATTTCTGTTTGCAACTTTATAGGTCCTTCTGTATGACATTCGGTCAGACAAACCTCTGCTCGTCAAGGACCACAACGATGGCTTGCCTGTTAAGGCTCTTGAATTTCACAATTCAGCTGGGAAGGTTGTGTCAATGTCGTCCAAGATTGTCAAGATATGGGACAAGGAAACAGTAAGTGGATAGAACTTTTTTTTGAATTAATTACTTTCTTTTTTAGCTCAGTGGTTGGTTTTGTTTGGAATTGATATTGGATAGAACTTCCAAAGTCTGCTGCATATGCATAGATGATAGACATTGATATATGTATGTTTAAAAGTTATTGGCAGTATCTGTACTTGTATTGAAATCTTCCTATTTCTCTCTCTTATGATTTCTTTATAATATATATTCATAGATAGAGCGATTAAAAAAAAAAAAAGTTTATTCTACAAAGACGTGTTCCTCTTTTAGGGAGCTCCCCATACCAGCATTGAATCCGAGGTGGACTTCAACGACCTCTGCCTTGTCTCAAATTCAGGGATGCTGTTCTTGGCGACCGAAGACGTGAAGTTGCAAACCTACTTCTTGCCGGTAGGTCACGAACCATCGTTTTTTTGTTTTTTTTTCCCCCCTTTCTCCTTTTCTTTCATGTTTTGTTTTGAGATGGCGTGTCTAATTCTGGTATATGTTGATTGGACCAGTGATTTTTGGGTACTTGCATGGAAATTTGAAATGCATTTGTGGTTAGCAGATGCATCACATGTTTGTTTTCTTTGTTGTTATTTTCAACTTTTTTCAGTCGTTGGGCACCGCTCCAAGGTGGTGTCCTCACCTTGATGCCCTAATTGAGGAGCTGGAGGAGGAGGAAGCCCCGTCACAGTACGATGATTACAAATTCGTTACGGAGGAGGAGCTGAAGCGAATTGGTCTTGACAAACTCATTGGTATGTTTCTTCTTCTTCTTCTTCTTCTTTTTCTTCTTCTTTTTTTTCTGCTTCTTTTTTCTTCTTCTTTTTCTTCCTCATCTTCTTGTTTATTCTGTTTATTCTTACTCTCACTCTTACTTCTTTGGCTCTGTCTTCAAAGAACTTACTGCCAGGTATTTCTTTGTCTTTTCTTCTTTTCCCTTTCTTTCTTTTTCTTCAACTTTAATTGTTATTATTATCAGTGTCAGTTGAATTCTTTAGTAATATATATTTGGTTAAAAGAGAGCAATCATATTTTTGATATGTAAAAGAAACAAATTATCTGATTGGTAAATCTTAATTTTTTCTGAAAATACTTTTAATTACTAAACCAAAACCAATGGGCATGGCATGTATGTACATGTCATGCCCACTGTAAGTTTACTTCATGAATTGATTTTACACATAGATGGCTCTACTTGTACTAAGTCACCAATGAGCCAATTACAAGTACTGCCTGTCTTGCCTGTTTACGCTTTTCCTTGATTTTTAAAGATATTTTATGTTGTCTTATATTGCCCCTTCTAATGTCATTGACAATATAATAATTATAATGTGTGTAATAGAAATAACACCATCGATATCAATATCATTAGTAAGAAAAAAAAAAATTCCCACAAATTCAAGGAACAGTGATAGAGACATTTCACAAAAAAAAACACTAAAATGAAGACAGCATTTTCCCGGCAATGTTGGGTTAATTCAGTCGAGTGGGAGTGGGGATTGCTCATTTCACATTTCTTTGTTATAGGTACGGATATACTTCGTGCAGTCATGCACGGCTACTACATAGATTCACGGTTGTACAACAAAGCCAA